TTAGAACTTGCGACCTTGTGCCATGTCCGTCCCCGATTCCCAAACCGTTCAGCAAATGAATTCAGCTTCCCCGACCTCATCCTGCCACAGAAGTTAGGGTAAGCATATCAGCCTCCTCAATAATAATTTCTCCCTTTCTCAACTGAAATTAAAGCTCTCCTAAATAGCTTCAAGCTTCTCAGAGGAGATTCGTTTCTTCTGTAATTCAAGAGTTGGCAAAAAGAGCAGCAGGTGTGTCTGAATTGAACAGCTGGTCCCACGATACCCTGAGCTGCAATTGCCGTGGAAACTTGAATTCTGTAGAGGATGCAAAAGAATTGTGGCAGCGGTGGGATTCGAACCCACGCCTCCGAAGAGACTGGTGCCTTAAACCAGCGCCTTAGACCGCTCGGCCACGCTACCCATACGGACATGGGCTCTTAATCCATTGAACAGTTTAAGACATATTTTTACATTATATTCCGGGAACAGCCAGGCTACAGATCATAATATTTGTCATGGTAACCAAATTCGGCAATTCTTAGAACTTGCGACCTTGTGCCATGTCCGTCCCCGATTCCCAAACCGTTCAGCAAATGAATTCAGCTTCCCCGACCTCATCCTGCCACAGAAGTTAGGGTAAGCATATCAGCCTCCTCAATAATAATTTCTCCCTTTCTCAACTGAAATTAAAGCTCTCCTAAATAGCTTCAAGCTTCTCAGAGGAGATTCGTTTCTTCTGTAATTCAAGAGTTGGCAAAAAGAGCAGCAGGTGTGTCTGAATTGAACAGCTGGTCCCACGATACCCTGAGCTGCAATTGCCGTGGAAACTTGAATTCTGTAGAGGATGCAAAAGAATTGTGGCAGCGGTGGGATTCGAACCCACGCCTCCGAAGAGACTGGTGCCTTAAACCAGCGCCTTAGACCGCTCGGCCACGCTACCCATACGGACATGGGCTCTTAATCCATTGAACAGTTTAAGACATATTTTTACATTATATTCCGGGAACAGCCAGGCTACAGATCATAATATTTGTCATGGTAACCAAATTCGGCAATTCTTAGAACTTGCGACCTTGTGCCATGTCCGTCCCCGATTCCCAAACCGTTCAGCAAATGAATTCAGCTTCCCCGACCTCATCCTGCCACAGAAGTTAGGGTAAGCATATCAGCCTCCTCAATAATAATTTCTCCCTTTCTCAACTGAAATTAAAGCTCTCCTAAATAGCTTCAAGCTTCTCAGAGGAGATTCGTTTCTTCTGTAATTCAAGAGTTGGCAAAAAGAGCAGCAGGTGTGTCTGAATTGAACAGCTGGTCCCACGATACCCTGAGCTGCAATTGCCGTGGAAACTTGAATTCTGTAGAGGATGCAAAAGAATTGTGGCAGCGGTGGGATTCGAACCCACGCCTCCGAAGAGACTGGTGCCTTAAACCAGCGCCTTAGACCGCTCGGCCACGCTACCCATACGGACATGGGCTCTTAATCCATTGAACAGTTTAAGACATATTTTTACATTATATTCCGGGAACAGCCAGGCTACAGATCATAATATTTGTCATGGTAACCAAATTCGGCAATTCTTAGAACTTGCGACCTTGTGCCATGTCCGTCCCCGATTCCCAAACCGTTCAGCAAATGAATTCAGCTTCCCCGACCTCATCCTGCCACAGAAGTTAGGGTAAGCATATCAGCCTCCTCAATAATAATTTCTCCCTTTCTCAACTGAAATTAAAGCTCTCCTAAATAGCTTCAAGCTTCTCAGAGGAGATTCGTTTCTTCTGTAATTCAAGAGTTGGCAAAAAGAGCAGCAGGTGTGTCTGAATTGAACAGCTGGTCCCACGATACCCTGAGCTGCAATTGCCGTGGAAACTTGAATTCTGTAGAGGATGCAAAAGAATTGTGGCAGCGGTGGGATTCGAACCCACGCCTCCGAAGAGACTGGTGCCTTAAACCAGCGCCTTAGACCGCTCGGCCACGCTACCCATACGGACATGGGCTCTTAATCCATTGAACAGTTTAAGACATATTTTTACATTATATTCCGGGAACAGCCAGGCTACAGATCATAATATTTGTCATGGTAACCAAATTCGGCAATTCTTAGAACTTGCGACCTTGTGCCATGTCCGTCCCCGATTCCCAAACCGTTCAGCAAATGAATTCAGCTTCCCCGACCTCATCCTGCCACAGAAGTTAGGGTAAGCATATCAGCCTCCTCAATAATAATTTCTCCCTTTCTCAACTGAAATTAAAGCTCTCCTAAATAGCTTCAAGCTTCTCAGAGGAGATTCGTTTCTTCTGTAATTCAAGAGTTGGCAAAAAGAGCAGCAGGTGTGTCTGAATTGAACAGCTGGTCCCACGATACCCTGAGCTGCAATTGCCGTGGAAACTTGAATTCTGTAGAGGATGCAAAAGAATTGTGGCAGCGGTGGGATTCGAACCCACGCCTCCGAAGAGACTGGTGCCTTAAACCAGCGCCTTAGACCGCTCGGCCACGCTACCCATACGGACATGGGCTCTTAATCCATTGAACAGTTTAAGACATATTTTTACATTATATTCCGGGAACAGCCAGGCTACAGATCATAATATTTGTCATGGTAACCAAATTCGGCAATTCTTAGAACTTGCGACCTTGTGCCATGTCCGTCCCCGATTCCCAAACCGTTCAGCAAATGAATTCAGCTTCCCCGACCTCATCCTGCCACAGAAGTTAGGGTAAGCATATCAGCCTCCTCAATAATAATTTCTCCCTTTCTCAACTGAAATTAAAGCTCTCCTAAATAGCTTCAAGCTTCTCAGAGGAGATTCGTTTCTTCTGTAATTCAAGAGTTGGCAAAAAGAGCAGCAGGTGTGTCTGAATTGAACAGCTGGTCCCACGATACCCTGAGCTGCAATTGCCGTGGAAACTTGAATTCTGTAGAGGATGCAAAAGAATTGTGGCAGCGGTGGGATTCGAACCCACGCCTCCGAAGAGACTGGTGCCTTAAACCAGCGCCTTAGACCGCTCGGCCACGCTACCCATACGGACATGGGCTCTTAATCCATTGAACAGTTTAAGACATATTTTTACATTATATTCCGGGAACAGCCAGGCTACAGATCATAATATTTGTCATGGTAACCAAATTCGGCAATTCTTAGAACTTGCGACCTTGTGCCATGTCCGTCCCCGATTCCCAAACCGTTCAGCAAATGAATTCAGCTTCCCCGACCTCATCCTGCCACAGAAGTTAGGGTAAGCATATCAGCCTCCTCAATAATAATTTCTCCCTTTCTCAACTTTAATTAAAGCTCTCCTAAATAGCTTCAAGCTTCTCAGAGGAGATTCGTTTCTTCTGTAATTCAAGAGTTGGCAAAAAGAGCAGCAGGTGTGTATGAATTGAACAGCTGGTCCCACGATACCCTGAGCTGCAATTGCCGTGGAAACTTGAATTCTGTAGAGGATGCAAAAGAATTGTGGCAGCGGTGGGATTCGAACCCACGCCTCCGAAGAGACTGGTGCCTTAAACCAGCGCCTTAGACCGCTCGGCCACGCTACCCATACGGACATGGGCTCTTAATCCATTGAACAGTTTAAGACATATTTTTACATTATATTCCGGGAACAGCCAGGCTACAGATCATAATATTTGTCATGGTAACCAAATTCGGCAATTCTTAGAACTTGCGACCTTGTGCCATGTCCGTCCCCGATTCCCAAACCGTTCAGCAAATGAATTCAGCTTCCCCGACCTCATCCTGCCACAGAAGTTAGGGTAAGCATATCAGCCTCCTCAATAATAATTTCTCCCTTTCTCAACTGAAATTAAAGCTCTCCTAAATAGCTTCAAGCTTCTCAGAGGAGATTCGTTTCTTCTGTAATTCAAGAGTTGGCAAAAAGAGCAGCAGGTGTGTCTGAATTGAACAGCTGGTCCCACGATACCCTGAGCTGCAATTGCCGAGGAAACTTGAATTCTGTAGAGGATGCAAAAAGATTGTGGCAGCGGTGGGGTTCGAACCCACGCCTCCGAAGAGACTGGTGCCTTAAACCAGCGCCCTAGACCGCTCGGCCACACTACCCATACGGACATGGGCTCTTAATCCATTGAACAGTTTAAGACATATTTTTACATTATATTCCGGGAACAGCCAGGCTACAGATCATAATATTTGTCATGGTAACCAAATTCGGCAATTCTTAGAACTTGCGACCTTGTGCCATGTCCGTCCCCGATTCCCAAACCGTTCAGCAAATGAATTCAGCTTCCCCGACCTCATCCTGCCACAGAAGTTAGGGTAAGCATATCAGCCTCCTCAATAATAATTTCTCCCTTTCTCAACTGAAATTAAAGCTCTCCTAAATAGCTTCAAGCTTCTCAGAGGAGATTCGTTTCTTCTGTAATTCAAGAGTTGGCAAAAAGAGCAGCAGGTGTGTATGAATTGAACAGCTGGTCCCACGATACCCTGAGCTGCAATTGCCGTGGAAACTTGAATTCTGTAGAGGATGCAAAAGAATTGTGGCAGCGGTGGGATTCGAACCCACGCCTCCGAAGAGACTGGTGCCTTAAACCAGCGCCTTAGACCGGTCGGCCACGCTACCCATACGGACATGGGCTCTTAATCCATTGAACAGTTTAAGACATATTTTTACATTATATTCCGGGAACAGCCAGGCTACAGATCATAATATTTGTCATGGTAACCAAATTCGGCAATTCTTAGAACTTGCGACCTTGTGCCATGTCCGTCCCCGATTCCCAAACCGTTCAGCAAATGAATTCAGCTTCCCCGACCTCATCCTGCCACAGAAGTTAGGGTAAGCATATCAGCCTCCTCAATAATAATTTCTCCCTTTCTCAACTGAAATTAAAGCTCTCCTAAATAGCTTCAAGCTTCTCAGAGGAGATTCGTTTCTTCTGTAATTCAAGAGTTGGCAAAAAGAGCAGCAGGTGTGTATGAATTGAACAGCTGGTCCCACGATACCCTGAGCTGCAATTGCCGAGGAAACTTGAATTCTGTAGAGGATGCAAAAAGATTGTGGCAGCGGTGGGGTTCGAACCCACGCCTCCGAAGAGACTGGTGCCTTAAACCAGCGCCCTAGACCGCTCGGCCACACTACCCATACGGACATGGGCTCTTAATCCATTGAACAGTTTAAGACATATTTTTACATTATATTCCGGGAACAGCCAGGCTACAGATCATAATATTTGTCATGGTAACCAAATTCGGCAATTCTTAGAACTTGCGACCTTGTGCCATGTCCGTCCCCGATTCCCAAACCGTTCAGCAAATGAATTCAGCTTCCCCGACCTCATCCTGCCACAGAAGTTAGGGTAAGCATATCAGCCTACTCAATAATAATTTCTCCCTTTCTCAACTGAAATTAAAGCTCTCCTAAATAGCTTCAAGCTTCTCAGAGGAGATTCGTTTCTTCTGTAATTCAAGAGTTGACAAAAAGAGCAGCAGGTGTGTATGAATTGAACAGCTGGTCCCACGATACCCTGAGCTGCAATTGCCGTGGAAACTTGAATTCTGTAGAGGATGCAAAAGAATTGTGGCAGCGGTGGGATTCGAACCCACGCCTGCGAAGAGACTGGTGCCTTAAACCAGCGCCTTTTTTTTTTTTTTTTTCTTGATAAAATTTATTCACGGGAACTTATTACAGACGCAGACAGTGCTGCCACAGCCACCACAAAAATAAAAAGGTTATCACAGAAGTAGGGTGGCAGTGGATAACATTCCGATTCTACAGACAGAAAATATGAGAAATAGTTTTTTACATTTGATTATCTAAACACGTCTTTACATATACAAAAAGAGGAATGCAGATTGAACATGCTCTTTACACGTTACATGTTACATGTTTCTATTCTAGAGGAGGTTTGAGAACAATCTCATTTCCATCTAATGTGATAAATGTATTGGTCATTATATATCTTTGAATAAAGATATGTAATTGATTCATTTTTGAATAGTGAAACAACAAAAGGCTGAAATGACGCTTAATCAAAGATTTGAAAAAAGCTTTCATGTGAAATGAGATTGTTTCCTGACTCATAATAACTCTTCTTTTAAATACAGCAATTCGATATATTGACAATACAATGTTCATGAAGGGTTTACATGACAACTTCTTTTCTGGCAGGAATCCAAACAGTAACCAGAGGTATAACTGTCCAAGACTAAACCCTGAATCTTGACAAACATCTGTCAACATGTCAATTAATAGAGATTGCAAGGAAGATAACTCTTGGCAGAAGATAAACAAATGTAAAATGTCCTCTGTTTCATTTTGACATACAGGACAAACATCAGTGTTTGACAATCCAATTTTGCACAGTTTATCATATGTAAAGATAATATTGTGAGCAATTTTAAAATCCAACTGTATAGAGTCTGTTGATTTATCTTTCTGCCACACATTCAGCCAAATATCTTTCCAATTAATGTCCAAAGCAATATTATTCCAAAAAGAAATAGCAACTGGCTTTTTGAAGTGTTTTTGTCTGAATATTTCGTAGCAAAATTTAGCTGTTAAAACTTCAACTGACATGTCCTCTCCATCAATCGTGCAGAAGATGTCTCCAGAGGGAAGGTTTTTGCCAACATCAGACAAAATGATATTTTTCCATTCTGATGGAAGCGCGTATAAAATGATTGCATAGCATTGTTGTATAGTGTTTATGTCCATTTCAGGTAAAGTATCATGTACAATGTCTACAATAATTTGTGAGGACATGAATTTTGGAATAACTTCAAAACAAATATGTTTAATACAAATAATTCCACTTGAAATAAACGATTGAAACATTAGAGTTTTTCCATTGAAAGTAATTAATGGATTTTTGAAAAGTGGTTGATTCATGATATCATCTACATTTTGAAGCAAGGGTCTTTTCCCTCCAGTAATTTCATTCCATGCAGATAATAGCTCAGCATAAAATGGGCTTTTGTCTTGTAAATCACCCTTATTATGTTCAAGAGATAAAACATGAATTCCCAAGTTCATTTTCAGAAGATGTGACATAAAATATAGCATTGTTTGTTTCCAAATACAATTAAGCTGGGAATTAGCAAAAGCCCTCAGCAACTTAAGTCTCAGTGCATATTTTTTAAAACACAACTTTGGTATATTCAGACCACCATCTAAACAAATACCAATACAGGTATCTGATGTTATTTTGGCAGTTTTATTGTGCCACAAGAATTTACTAAACATCTGAGTAAATCTATGCTCAACCCATTGTGGGACAGGTAGTACAGTAAACGCATACCATAAGCGGGAACTCATAAGGATATTTATTACAACTGCTCTACCCTGTAGAGTAAGTTGTCTACGTAACCATGAATTTAACAATGTTTGAATTTTGTCCATTTTCTTTCTCCAATTCAACGTTTCACACATTGCTTTATCCTTGCCGAAATAAATGCCTAATATTTCAACACAATCTTTTTTGATTTTAACCGGGACGTTGATTGAACAGCCACGAAGGTTATTTTTACCCAATAACAAAACTTCTGATTTTTCGATGTTGATTTTTGCTCCCGTTCCTTCACAGTATGAGTTAACTGTGCTAAATGTTTCTTCGACGGAGTTGACATCTGAAACAGTGATTGAAGTGTCATCAGCATGTTGATATATCAAAGAATAAATGTCATTGTTGATATTTATTCCGTGGATTTCAGGATTGTTCTTAACTAGGAGATTAAGTGGCTCTGACACCAAAACGTACAGCATGGAGCTCATTGGATCTCCTTGACGAACACCACGAGTTAAAGGAAAATAAGGCGTCAAATGGCCATTGCATTTAACAGAACTATGCATATCAGTATAGAGAATTTTAATCCATGAAATGAAGGAATCTCCAAAGTTAAATTTTCTGAGAATTTGAAATAAGTATTGATGTGAGACCCTGTCAAAAGCTTTCTCTTGATCTATTTTGATGAGATATGAATCATCATCATCACGATTATTTACAATGTCAATAACATCTCTTAGGGAGTGAAGGTTGTTAGCTATGTCTCTTCCTGGTACACAGCAAGATTGTTCAGGGAGACAATTGAGGACATGACAGTTCGTAATCTTAATGACAACACTCTGGATATTAGTTTACAATCTACATTTATCAATGAAATAGGCCTGTAACATTTAATGTCTCTCTTGTCACCTTTCTTTTTATAAAATAAACTAATTATACTATTTTTCATGGTACGTGAAAGACTGTTTTCTTTGTGTACACAATCAACAACTTGTATGAAGAAGGGGCATAAAATGTTGCAAAACTTCAAATAAAATTCAACTGTTAGACCATCTGAGCCTGGTGATTTATTTTTCTGCATACCTTTGAGTGCCACAGTAAGCTCACTCTGAGAAATATGTACTTCGTATGAATTCCTCTCATCTTCGGAAAGCTTGTCCTTGATATTATTAACTATGTCCTGTTGTTTTTCTACATTACAGTGTTCAGCAGTGAATAAAGAGGAGTAAAATTGTTGAGCAGTATCCAAGATATCCTCTGTGTTGTTGGCTATTGTACCATCTCCTCTAAATAATTCTTTGATCGAGTTTGCTTGCTGTTTTGTTTTTCCTAGATTTAAAAAGTATGAGGTATTTCTGTCGGAATCGAGAGTCCACTTTGCCTTTGACCTGAGAATAGCTCCTTTGCATTTGTTAATCTCGTATGTCTCCAGCTCATTTTCTATTGATTGTAAAACAGAAGATACATAGCCAGGAATGGAGGATATCTTATGATATTCTTTTCTAAGCTTATTTTGAATTTTAAAATAATCAGCTTTTTCATGATTTTTTTTTTAGATGCATAGTACCTGGAAAACTTTTTGAACTGATATTTCAAGTTATCCCACCATATCAATGGTTCAGTTTTAAGTAAAGGGCACCCTTTTGCCTCTTCTATTATTTCAGTGATCTTTTGATAAAATGCGCAATCGTCAAGAAGCTGATTATTAAAAATCCATACACCAGGACCCCTTTCTATAGGAGAAAAGTCTAACCTTGATACAACAATATTGTGATCACTCACAGAGGAATATCTAATGTAACAGTTGATAATATTTGAAATAAGGTTTCTTGAAACAAATATCAAATCAATCCGAGATTGTTTAATAACTCCTAATACAGACTGTATTCGAGAAAACTCTTTTTTGTCATAGTTCTTGTACCGCCATATTTCAATTAGGTTGTTTTTGTGAAGAAAGGTGTTTAACACATTGCTACTTTGGATGTTAAACGTTGTGTTATTGGGACCTTTATCAAGTGAAGGATCAAGAATTTCATTAAAATCTCCAGCGCAAATTAAATGCTCATGATTAACCCATTTCATTAAATTATTGAAAAAAGGTATTCTCTCTCTAGGATCGTTTGGGGCATACACATTTAATAAAATCACTGTTTTATCTTCAAGAGATAGAGACGCCTTTAGTAGTCTTCCATCATTGTCTTTTTCAAGCATGGCCACCTTTTGTTCAAAGTTAGGAGAGATCAAAAGAGCAACGCCTTTTCTATTATTACCAGCATTAGAGTATAAAATTGTTCCTGGCCATAAATATTTATATTTTTCAATGAATTCATCAGACCAAAAGGTCTCCTGCAAAAAGGCAATATTGACGTGGGAATTCGTTAGTATAGAGAATACATTTTGCATTTTAGTGACATCACGGAGTCCATTCACATTCCATGACCATGTTGTGACCATTGCAAATATAAATATGAAATGTATGTACAAACACATTGTTAGTTTATATACCATTCTCAGACACGCCAGATATTTCTCGTCGATCGTTAACCTTTTCTTCTTTCTTCTTCTTTTGTTCATCTTTTTTACTTTCTCTCAATTTATTTTTTAAGTCATTGTTCTGAATTACACAGTCTGTGATCTTGGGTTGTAGTTTATTTCTTCTTCCTCTTTTCTTCGAAGATTTGTTCCATTTAGAAGGTGCTATATTTTCATGTCCATCTTGAGGCAACGACTGTCTCATTGTCTTATCATCACTCTCCATGTCATCTCCAACACGGTTTGTACAAGGAATTTCAGAGGCTTCATCAAGTTTTTCCTCTTCATTTTCTTCTCCTTTTCCCTCTATTGGTCCATCTTTGTTT